GCTGGTGGGGGGGCGCGGCGGCAACAGACACGGCGCCGAAACACCAAAAAGCAGGCGCCACGAGGCATCGGGTGGCCCCCGGGGGGCGATCCTGCGGGCGGCATTTCCAGAGACCAGGGCGTCGAACTACTTGGCTTGTCTAGGGGGGTTTGCCTTGCGATGGTGGGGGGGCGCGGGTGGCGGGTTAAAGGTGCTTTGGGCGCTTCCCTTTCGCAAGTCTTGCGCCAACTACGCCGAGAAAGTCATTAGCCACCTTCCCTTGGTAAAGGGGGCTTTTCATGTGCGAAGTGTGGGGCGGGTCTGGCGTTGTGAAACGGCAATGTTGTGCGCGTCTCTTCCTTCCCCCCCTTCGGGAAACCAAGGCGCAGACTGCTGGGCAAGGTGGCGGTGGAAGGCATGGAAGGCCTGGCTTTTCGGACCATGCATGCATCAGACGTGCGACGAAGGTATTTGCTTCCATACAAATTTTTTTGAAGGATTCTGAGGAGGCCTTTGTTTCGGGTTAATTGGGCTCCGCTGATCCCTCAAGATCGGGCAGATTTACCACTGAATGCGCTCAAGTTGTCTCAGGAATGGCTTCAAAATTTTCTGGGAAAGACATCCATGTGCCCTCCAGCTGTTTTGTCAGGTTCAGCTGTATTAGTAAGGGACACCTTCCATGTGCGAGTTGGTCGCGTTGCTGTTTGACGACGTGGGGGAAGTTTTGGTAGAAGGTGGTGTGTGGGGACAGGCGTCATTCATTACATTGCGGGGAGAAGCAAGGGCTGTACAGAGGGTTCTACTCACCTTTCATTACTGCTTGGAGGGACGTCTTTACACGTTGTGTTTACAACACGGCAGTCATGCACGCCATGCGGAAAGAGGATGCAGACTCTGACGCTGCAATACAGGATCTCTCCCCAGTGGAGAACACGTTGCAAGATCTTCAGACACAAATTGGTCGGGGATATGCGACTTTAGGAGCAAACCCAGTGGGTGATATTTCAAGGTGTCAGGTCATTAACCACATGAATATTACATAGGGGCCCTACCTCAGAAGAGGTGAGAGCGGATTAAAAGGTACTTTCAGCACATCTTTTTCGCTTATATCTATTTCTGCTCATCGACAACGATATGCTTTACAGGAGTATGCATTTGGGAATCGATCCAAATATGGAGGTTATGTACCTCGGTGGAAAAAGTATGATCAAACTGCATTTTCTCGCCCCTCTCCCCCATTTCTGTTTCAACTTCTTAACGGAAGGTTGAGGTGCAGACTGTTCCATGGATGTATGCCTTTCCACACTGCGTGAGGAACGCGTCTGGTTGCACGCAGTCTCAGAAATATCAATAGAATAGTCTATACCTTATCAATACAAAAAAGCGCTGTGGCCTTCTGCGGTGCGGTCTACGAGAGATGACGTACACATTTCAATATCGATTAGTGACATTTATGACGAGCTAGCGTAGAAGCGTAATGGACCCTGCAAAGCAAACAAAAAAAAAATGAAAGTAACAACAACAACAACAGGAACTGGGAGTGTTTGGGGTGAGTAAGCTGGACCAAAGAAGGGCAGCCCATCTGCAGAAACAGGTACCATCTCAGGAGAGCGTTATGTTCTCATTGGCGATGCAGACTCCAAGACCCCATTTTCTGTGTCCACGGATTGGACTGCATTGCAGCATTCGCTAATTGCTTTTTTGCTCTCGTTGCTTTGAAAGAAAGAAAATCAGGCTATACGCGTGATATAGGCTCAGCAAAAAAGGGTTTCACGAACAACAGGTCTATTAATGCTTAACATGATGTGGTGTATTGCTTAGTGGTACTTTCTTACTTGGGCCTGAAAAGGGGAACCAATGTAATTTTTGTTTCTTCTTCTTCTGGGGGCCTGTGAGCGGCAATGGTCAGGTCGTACATATGTTTGGTAAAGCAAAATGAGCCTTCTTATATAAATCATCAAAAAAAAACTGTATGCCCACCCACATTTTTCCTATCCTTTTTTTCAGGGAAGGCGATGCATAGGCTATTCAAGGGGCTTGTGAAGATGATCTGTGGAGCTCTCTTTCTACCCAGGCATCAAGGGAAGTTTATGTCATGGATATTGTTTCTTTTGGTTGTGATGCGTCGGAATCGCCGCGTGGGCTGCAATAGGTGACTTCGTTTGTTTGGTTGCCCCTGCCACACTCTCTTTTGTTTTTTTGATGCCGTGACGCGAGGTATTGCGGCCGTGGGGCCGCGGGAAATGCCTCCTTCGCATTGTACACACCGCCGAGTGATTCATGGCTTTGCTGAGGCGATGCTGATTGGATAATAAAAGAGGGAGGTGCGGAGATCCCCAGTTTCGGTTCTCTCTGCAACAATATACATATATACATTTTATTGGATGGGTTCCAGGGGTTAATACTCTCGTTTATGATTGTATAAAATGGATTTGCGTTGCTTGATATACATGTTGCCTGCTTTGTTTTGTATTTTGTGTTTATTTTTGCACGTATTATTTTTATTATTCTTTTTTTCATTTATTATTATCATCATGGGCTTTTTTTTTGTAGGGGTGGTGGGTGGTGAGTCTGCGGTGAGGCAGAGTCCTTTTCCCCTCCTCCGCCTTGTTTTTGGTGAAAAAAAAAAATGCTCTCAAGCTGGAGCCCCACTGTTTGAGTGGGGCTGGGCGATCCCCCTTTTCCTTTCCCCAGCATCTCGTTGTGTTCGGCTTCGTCGTGCAGGGGGTTTTGTGTGAGGGGCCCCTGCGTTTCCCCCCTCCACACGTGAGTGCCTTTGTTGTAGAGCACTGGTGGCTACACGAATAGAGAGACTTAATTGCGGTATTGGGGTGGGGGTGAAAAAAATGTGCCGAAGGCGCTTTCTGTTTTTTTATGGCGTCTGTGCGCCAGATGCCGGCCATAAATTATTCCTTCCACCGCTTAAAAACAAAAAACAAAAAACAGAGTCAACAGTGACTTTGACCCGAAGGCTGTTGGGCAGAGGTGCGGCTTGGGATCTCCCGCGCGTTGCGCACCTTTCTCCCTTTGCCTGAGGCACAGTAGGGGGCGCTGCGGTGTGGCGGTCGTGTGCGGCGCGTCCGGGGTGAAAATAAAAAGCCGTACAACGGGGGAGTTCTTGTCTCCCTCACCTGCCCGACACACGCTAGAAGCGAAGCAAATGATACATCACCCACCCACACACACACACATATATATATATATATATATATAATGCTACTCATAGTAAGAATATACAAAAACAAATTGATGTACAACAAGTCATACAAGGGAATTATTCTGTTATCGTGTGTTCCCGGAAGCCTCTTGCGAAGGGGAATTACTGACACCTCCGTGGTTTGTGCCTAAAAGAGGGAATATGGGTCACAACTTCTCCGACACTATTGCCTCATTCGATGCGTTCGTCTACATGAAACTTGGCTGCCAGCTGCATGGTGCTCCCCACGAGGTGCTCATTGCCATACCCATCCATTGTAGTTGTCGTGCTTTGAGGATGTTATTTGGTGGACAATGAGAGGAAATAGTGGTGGATCGGGCGGCTGCCAACACCCTGAATGTGCAGCCCAATTCTTATTTCCTTGACAGCAACAATTGATGTCTGCATCCGTGCCGTCAGAATGCTGCCTGCTATGACGACAGCAATGTGGTCTCGGCAAGCGGTCCTGCCACACGTGCAAAAGAAACGAGCCACGCAGCGTCAAGTGTAAATGAATACCATTAAACCTATTTTGACATCCTTGGATTCTTAAGGAAGAAGCATTGTAAGCTTCCCGGTTATACAACAAAGACAATATCTCTTTCTCTTTCAATTGTTTCTCCTTTTATATCGTCAAAAAAGAGAGGAATAGCTACAAAGTCCTCCACATATCGTCAAAAACTCAATGGGGGTTAGGCACATCACGTGTGCTCTTGTCCTCGTACTAATATGTGCGAGGGCAACCCCGGCCAATGCGTTTACCGAAATACAACAAACGGAATGGCCCGCATACTCAACACAAACACCACCGCCAAAAAACGACGGAGGTGCCGGCGAAAAACATTCTTTTCAGCCACATAGTTACAAACCTGTCGACAACAATGCCATTAAGAACGTAAAACAAAACCACCTCTCCCAAAACGAGGTAAAAACCGAAATATATGATCCATCTATCGATCATCAGCTATTAAACACCGCACGCGCGGAATACAATGACCACACAGAATTCACCGCAAAACCACGCTCGCACATCGCTGCCATCGAACTAGAAAATGGACCTGACAAAACTGACTTCGATGATAATTCGCTTCTCACCTCGTCTGAGAAGCCCGCTGAGAGCAGCAGTGCCGAGACTAGCAGCTCGTCTGAGAAGCCTTCTGAGAGCAGCAGTGCTGAGGCTAGCAGCTCGTCTGAGAAGCC